CACAGAGACAGAGAATTTCTCTCTTAAGTATAACCCATGAATTAAGATAAATTCACAGGAAACATGTTGTCTATACATATGTTTTCTTCATCCATATTTATTGTTGAACAAATTATTAGGAATATTGTATTTTGATCATAATGTTGGAGATTCAGGCTCAAATATTCATAAAACGTATGGTGACCAAGTGTTTGAAAAGTGCTCTCATATTTCTCCTCAGCCTTCTTTTCTCAAGAGTAATCATGCCCAGATCCTTCAGTTTTTCCTCATAGTGGGCTTGGTTTCCAATCCCCTGATCATCTTTGTTGCCCTCCTTTAAACGTGTTTCAATTTGTCCTTTTTAAAGTGCAGTGTCCAGAACTGGACATGGTACTCAAGATGAGGCCTAATCAGTGCCAAATAGAGGGGAACTAGTATTTCACATGTTTTGGAGACTATATTTCTGTTACTGTAGCCTGCAATAGCAGTTGCCTTTTTTGTAGCTGTATCACACTGTTGGCTCATATTCAGCTTTTGATCTACAACAGTTCCAAGATCCTTCTTGCATGCAGTATTGCAGAGGCAAGTATCCCTCATCTCGTAACGGTGCATTTGGTTTCTTTTTCCTGGGTGTAAAGCTTCGTATTTATCCTTGTTGAATTACATTCTGTTGTTTGATGCCCAGTGCTCGATCCTATAAAGATCTTTCCCCCCCCCCACACACACATCTTCCAAGATATTAGTTGTTCAACCCAATTTTCTGTCATCTGCAAATTTGGTAAGCATTTCCTGCACCTGCTCATCCAAGTTATTAATGAAAATGTTGAAGAGCACTGAAACCTGGTTCCCTGATTGAAAAGATACAACCAATAAGGACTCTCTGAGTATACTGTAATTCTGTAACCAACTGTTTACCTACCTGACAGTTGTTCTATCCATCCCACGCTTAGTTAAATTGCTAATCATAATATCATGGGACACTTTTTCAAAAGCTTTGTTAAAGTCAAGATATATACTGTCAACAGCATTCCCACTGTCTACCAGGGAGGTTATCTGATCAAAAAATGAGGTAAGATTAATCTGACAAGATTTCTTCTTTACAAATCAGTGTTGGCTTTTAGTTATTGCTGCATTGTTATAAGATTTCTTCTTTACAAATCTGTGTTGGCTTTTAGTTATTCCTGCATTGTTTTCAAGGTACTTAGAGACTAATTGCTTTATAATCTGGTCCATATTTTCCCCAGGGATTGATGTCAGACTGATTGGTCTGAAGTTCCCAGTTTCCTCCTTTTTGAAAATACAAAAGACAACATGATCCATCCTCCAGTCATCTGGCACTTCACCCATTCTCCATGATTTCAAGAAAAAATAGGCAGTGGTTCTGCAAGTTCTTGTTCCTTCAACTCTTGGATGCAGTTCATTGGGCCCTGAAACCTAAGCATATTGAAAGTAATGACCTAGTCCTTAACTATTTGTCTGTCAGTCTTAATTTGCAACCCTGACTCCACGTGTAGTTCACATTTGCCTGAAGGGTCACAGACTGTCTTTTGGGAGAAAACCAAGCTAAAGTAGGAATTTAGTACTTCTATATTTTCTTTGTCATCTATTACCCTTTTCCTATCCTCACTGAGTAGCTGAGCCACTATTTATTTTCTCAGTCTTTTGGTACACATGGACCTGAAGAATGCTTTTTGTTGTTGTTGTTGCTTTCTCCTTTTTTGTCCTTGTTGGAATTGTCTGTAATTGTTCCTTTAGAATTTCCTTTTTTAGAAACTACCACCCATCTTTTTATGATTTGGGTGCTTTCTGTTCATGGGTAGATACATAGGTCATTCATATGTTCCTTTGCTTTCAGCCACCCAGAGTGGCTTCCATATTTCTTTTGTTTTTGCCCAGTTATTTCAGTCCAAATGCTCTTAACTTGGTATATGCAGCTTTGTTCTCAGCCTACAAAACTGTTTTAGGATTTTCTGTGTTTCTGAAAAGATTGCAGAGCCCTGTAACAAAACATTTCTTTTAAAAAATGGGCCTTTGTCTGGATATTTAAAAAAATCACAAACTGATTTAAAACTACGGGCAATCTGTCTTTTAAAGGAATCTTTACCACCCTATTGATTTGTTTGGCAGTGTAGATAACAAAGACACTGAGAAGATTAAGCTTGTACTCCATGTTTTGCTAATGTGGAGTCCCAAAAGCAGTGGAGGGGGAAATGGGGAGGGATGTGAAGTGGTGGAATGTGAGCAAGAAATAGGGGGCCAAAGATCCCAGGCAGGGATACATTATGACATGAGGACCATAAGATGCTGGGGGTGCCTGGGGAGGACGAAGAATTGCACCACAGCTGAAACTTGAGGAGGGCAGTCATAGCATGACTGACAATAGGAAAAGTGGGTATTTTGGCATTTGAATGTATGGAAGACTGATTTGAAACAAGGGAAGGGCCAGTGGAAAGAAATTTGTCATACTGCGGATCAGATTCCTAAAAGACAGAGACAAGTGGGCGCTTGGGTTTTAATGCAAACCCTAAACCATTCACAGGGTTACAGGGAAGTAAAAAAGGTGTGCGATGCGCAGTCTGTTAGGGAACGGTGTGCTTCCCTACCTCCGGATGGAAACCTGGGCAGATGGGAAGCAGCAATGGGGCGTCTTTTCTTTCTGCTCAGGTCCCGTCCTTCTCCCACCTCAACGGGGGGGGCTCCTCTCCTGTCCCAAGTGTGAGCTGGCGAGGGGGCTTCCTTCCACCGTGGTGTGTGTGTGTGTGTGTGTGTGTGTGTGTTGCCAGGCCCCCTCCCCTCCTTTGTTTCCTCACCGCCCTGGTCCAAAGGGCAGTGGGGTGGGGTGGGGGAGAGCTGCTTTGGTCAGCTAGCCCGGAAGAATAGAAGGGGGACCTGAGCGGGCGCCCCCCCCGCCCCCCCCCCGTCCTGGGCCTTGTTTGCACCTTCTCCTCAATTGAACAGCTGGGCCCTTCGTGGGGGGGGGAGGAAGGGGCAGAACAATGAAGTGGTGGTGGTTGGGGTCATCACTAATGGCAGCTCTTTGGCCATTCCTGCCAAGTTCCTCAGCCATTCTACGTTGAAGGACAGAGGTGAGTATACCACGTGGCTTGCCCCATCCTCCCCACACTAGTAGAGTAGCCCTGCTAGGATGAATAAATCATCTAAAACCTGGCTCCTCCAGCTTCTATTCTTATATTTGTAAACATATTCATTTGCATTGAAGCACACATGACTAAATGGAGATTGTCTGCTTTTTGTAGATAATGTCACTGGCAGCATCTTGATGTGGGGAGACAACAATGATTATTGTACTGATTTTAACGCATCAGGTTGCTGATAAAGACCAGGATTTTCTTCCAGTCAGTTGGCAAACTAGTGTACAAATCAAAAAGTGCTCTAGTTCTGCTGTATAGCACGAGGAGGCAGGCTGCCATTAGTGAAACTTTCTGAGGTACTGTACTCATTTCAGCAGGTTTCACTGCTTCCATTTCAACCTTGCTTAGGGGATCTATGAGTGAATTTTCCCTAGAAAAGCCTCTATATTAATTTGCCCAGGCACATTCCTTTTTCTATATGGGGTCGTGTTTTACCAGTGATGTTTCATTATTTATTTTCTTTCTAAATAGTAAAAGAGAATTGTCGGGTTTTGGTTTTTTTTTAATGAATTAATGAAACAAATTCAATGCATACTGAGGCCTTTCTAGGGGAAACGACTCACTAATTCCCCTGCCAGTATCCAGAGAAAGAATCAACATTTGTTGAACCTACAAGAAATAACCTGTTGATGTGAAGTTGCCAGGGTCCTTCATTCAATAGTATTTACCTGTGAACATACGACGAAAATGATATTTTTAATTATGGTAGATGTCTTGTAACCTCTGCTTCTAACTCAGCATAGCAAAGAAATGTGTTCTGCTGTGAAAACACTAAACTTCATACATGTGCTGGTACCAGGTTTAATGATTGCATGCAGTGAGAATAACTTAATGGGTAAAGAGTGTGAACTGTGCTTCAAATCTCTAGTCATCCTTCAGACTACTCATGGGCATGAGGCAACCTATCTAATATCTGTAGTAAAGATATAAAGTCTTCCTTCATCCCATATTACTATTGTGAATATTACTATAATCTCTGTGAAGCTGATTGAACACAGGAAACGTGGTACATAGGTCTTTTGAGTCATTTCTGCAGAAACATTTTCTTTTACTCTCACTCAACCATCATGTAGTGGCAGCAGTTTTGCATATTGTACCTTTAAGTTGCATTAGGGAGGGAGTGTCACTCTGACTAATTATCCATGTTATAATGACCTTCTGGCTTCATTAGTGTTAGCTTCTAACATACAGAGCCTTTGGCATTTTAAACTCATTTTAAAATAATTTTAATCACTTAACAACTATTTTAAATAAAATGTTTTTGTTGATTTAATTGTAAATCATTTTGATCGCACTTGTAGGCAAAAAGCAAAGGACAAAATCCTGTTGTTTAACTATGCTACCAGAACTATGGTAGTTATGCCATATGTTTCAGACCTCTAGGAGGGTCCCCCAGGAGCCCTAGAAAGATATATAGACCCTTTGGCAAATGTACACTTTATAGGTGTAATGCCCAGCATACTTATGCAAGCATTACTTTACGTTACACCCGCACAAACAGGATTTTGCCCAATAAACATTTTGAATAAATAAATGATGTATAATCCCTACAAAGAACAGCAGCCAACTATTGTGCTACATCACTTCTAATGGATTTTATATCAACTCCCAAAAGCCCCAGTATTTTTGATAGCCTGGAATTACAGGAATTGTAGTCCAGATAGAGGGGTAATCCAGTTTTATATATTAAAGTGGACTAAAGAGATTCCAACTGTACTAACTTATGGAAACCTTAAGACTAGAGCTTTCAGCGGCTATTTCCAAAGATCAGGGATTTTTGGAATTCCTGCAGAATGTAACAAATGTAGAAGTTTGCTTTTAAATAATTTAAAGTTTTAATTTTTTCATTTCCCCTCCCCCCCCCAACAGCTGCTGTGGATCCTGTCACTGACCGCGGAGAAAGCTTAGAGCAGAGTTACTGGTGTGATGATCACAATACAATTCATAGGCGTTTAGATACCATCCAGGAGGTAAGACAATCTGGCAAAAGATTATAGCTTCAGATACCTAGGTTTCCTTGCTATTTCCTCCACCCTGGCCTAGAGCAGGATCCAAAAGGTCCAGCTTGAAGCATAGATCAGGGTTGGAGTCCAGATCCATGCACAACAGGTAATGCTTACACTAATTTCTTAATTCGAGGCAATTCATTTCCAAAAGTTACACAGTTTGGGTTATGCCAATATAAAATTTCAAAGGGATCATGGCCCATCTTTTAAGAACAAGCATCAGAGCTAATAATCTTGAAAACCACTCAAAGCCATATGGTTTCAATAACTTGCTTAAAACTAAACAAAGAAGACCGAAACTTAGTTCTTGCTGATCTTTGGCTCAACTGGCACACCACTCAATAGTGGGGTAAGGCACTCCTGGTCACAGAATCCACTTAACCTTTCCCAAGTTGCAAACTTTTAAAAATCTAAGGTGGAGGCCATCCGCCAGGACCTTGATCCCTTTCTACAGACAATAGAGATAAGCTGAGATGTCCAGTGCATTGTCTTGCCCAGCGAGGTTAATTTGCCTTCAACCTGTGACATCCAATGAGGTGGACAGGGTGCTTGCGCGCTGTTGTGCCACCCCCTCCTCTTTAGACCCTTGTCCGGCCTGGCTCATCAAAGCAGCTAAGCCGCTAGCAACAAAATGGGCCACCGCAATAATTAATAGCTTTCTCCAGGAGGACATGGTTCCCCCTGCCCTTAAGGAGACACTGATTAGGCCCATTAGAAAGAAACCTAATTTGGCGGTGGACGAAATTGGGAATTATAGGCCCGTCGCCAATGTTTCTTTCTTGAGTAAAGTGGTCGAGAGGGTGGTGGGCGATCAGCTCCAGGCCCTCCTGGAGGAAACTAATGTCCTTGATCTGTTCAAGTCGGGCTTCAGGCTGCAGCACGGTACGGAAACAGTATTGGTCGCCCTGCAGGATGACCTCCTGAGGGAGGCCGACAGGGGCAATATGTCCTTGCTTGTCCTCCCATTGGTCGGCCTGCAGGATGACCTCCTGAGGGAGGCCGACAGGGGCAATATGTCCTTGCTTGTCCTCCTTGATATCTCAGCGGCCTTTGATACCATCAACCACGGTATCCTCCTGGGGTGGCTCTCTGAGTTAGGAATTGGCCTCGCTTTGGCGTGGCTCCTTCTTGGAGGACCATCCCCAGAGAGAGGAATTGGCCTTGCTTTGGCGTGGCTCCTTGGAGGACCATCCCCAGAGAGTGCAGCTTGGCAAGATGACTTCCACCTCGTGGATCCTCAGTTGTGGGGTTCCACAGGGGTCGATCATCTCGCCAATGCTATTTAATATCTATATGAGGCCGCTGGGTGAGGTCATCCGGGGTTGTGGGGCCCAGTGCCATCAGTACGCTGATGACACCCAGCTCTACCTCTCCTTTTTTCCAACTGCAGTGGATGCTGTTCCAATCCTTGAACAATGCTTGGTGACTGTTCTGGAGTGGATGAGGGCAAATGGACTGAGGCTGAATGCGGACAAGACGGAACTCTTGTGGGTGGGCGGCCTTGGCGTCAGTGGGTTGAGAAACTCTCTCTCCTTTGTGGGGTGGCTCTTCCCACAAAGAGTAGGTTCACTGCTTGGGCATCTGCCTGCACCCGGATCTCACCATGGAAACCCAGGTGGCATCTGTGATCCAGGCAGCCCATTTCCATCTATGGAGGACTGCCCAGCTGCAGCCCTATCTAGACATGGGGGCACTCACAACACTGATTCAGGCCCTCGTAATCTCAAGAATAGACTACTGCAGTGCTCTCTACTTGAGGCTACCCTTGAGGCTGATGTGAAGACTTCAACTGGTCCAAAATTCGATGGCCAAACTAATAACTGGGGTGAAGAAATTCCAGCACATCTCCCCCACTCTGGCTCCCCTTCATTGGCTACTGATTCATTTCCACATCGACTTCAAGGTTATGATAATAAAATTCAAAGCCCTAAACAGGTACCTATTAGAATGCCTGCTTCCAGCCAGATCTGTCCCTAATACCCATTCTTCACTGGCAGGGCGGTTGAGGGCCTTGACCACGAAGGAGGCCCGGAGAGAAAGAGAAAGAAATCAAGCCTTCTCAGTGGTCGCCCCTCGCCTATGGAATAACTTGCCCATTGACATCCACCTGGCACCCTCACTGGATGGGTTCAAAAGAGCATTGAAGACCTGGCTCTTCTGCCAGGCATTCCCAGAGCATTAAGTTCTTGGCCTCCCTTTTACCATCCTTTTTGCCATCCTCTCCATCACCCCTTTTTACCACCTTCATTGCCATCTGTTTAAATCTACCCTATTTGGTTATGTACTAATTTATTTTTATCGTGTTTTAATATTGTTGCTCATATTGCTGTTAGCTACCCAAAGTGGCCTGGTTGCCAGATGGTGTGGGGTACTAAATAAATAAATTTCTTCACAGGAAATGCAGCCCAGCAAACAACTAAATCTATCTCTAGTTCCTGATTAGCTTGCCTACTAATGTACATCACCTGCATCTTGTCTGACTTGAACATCACCTTGTTAATTCCACATCCTGTTAGTCAGATGATGTTTCACCATTTCCATAGTCTGTTTGGCATAATTTGACAAAGGGAGATCCTGTAAATAATGAAACTCAGCCTCCAGACTCAAAGTGCTATCTCCCCACATCTTCCTGTAAGTGTTCAAAAGCGGAAGGTGCATACAAGGCAGGGCCCTAAGAAGCCTCATAGGCCAATGGCTAGAGAGCTGAGCAGTAGTCCTCAATACATACCAACTGGGAGAACTCAGGCAGGTAAGATTGAAACTATAGTAAACCAAAGAAGCTAAGTTGCCCCCAAGTACTGCCCAAACACTCCGAAAGAAACCATGGTCAACAATATCATATAAATAGGATAAACATAACTGGACAGCAGCAGTCATATGTAATACTAAAACATATTTTCACATTGCGGGGATGGGCCTGGACAAAGCTTAGGCTCTTCATTTCCCCTCTTCTCTCCTTCCCTGTCACAGCCTTGGGGAATATATTAAAAGCTTCTAATTTTTAGAAACCATTACCTTGGAACTCTGAAATGAGGGATCACTTGTGGGCAGATGATGTTGGACTACAATTTCCATCAGCTCTAACCAACTTTATGAATGCAGTTGGTGACATCTGGGAGTAACATCTAGAGGTACACATTCCCTATACCTGAGCTAAAATACCTTAAATATTAACAGAGGTTTACTAAAACAACGCAGTTTTATAAACCATGGTTTGAATTTTGCTTATATGTCATAGTGTATCACCCCTCACTGCATAATTTCAGCTCTTTAAACCCCATTTTTCCCCAAACTGGGAGCAAATCTCTGGTCTCACTTCTGATGTGGGTTTTTTCAGGATTTGGGGTGGGCTCTTGGCCTCAGGGTAGCCTCAGGTGGTCCCAGAAATACGAAATTGGCCTCTGAACACCTCCACTCCTGCTTTAAATATGTTAAGTATTATGCTTGAATGTAGCAACTTAGCAGTTTCCATTTGTCCTGCACAGCTGAAAGTTTGAGTCTTGTCCACTAGTGTGTATGTTTAGTCGTTTATTCGTGTCTGACTCTTCGTGACCCCATGGACCAGAGCACGCCAGGCTCTCCTATCTTCCACTGCCTCCCGTAGTTGTGTCAAATTCATGATGGTTGCTTCGATGACACTGTTCAACCATCTCGTCCTCTGTCGTCACCTTCTCCTCTTGCCTTCACACTTTCCTAACATCAGGGTCTTTTCCAAGGAGTCTTCTCTTCTCATGAGATGGCCAAAGTACTGGAGCCTGAGCTTCAGGATCTGTCCTTCCAGTGAGCACTCACGGTTGATTTCCTTTAGAATGGATAGGTTTGTTCGCCTTGCAGTCCAGGGTACTCTCAAGAGCCTCCTCCAGCACCACAGTTCAAAAGCATCAATTATTCGGCGGTCAGCTTTATGGTTCAGCTCTCATTTCCACACATCACTATAGGAAAAACCATAGCTTTGACTATGCAGACTTTTGTGGGCAAGGTGATGTATCTGCTTTTTAAGATGCTGTCAAGGTTTGTCATCGCTTTCCTCCCAAGAAGCAGGTGTCTTTTAATTTAGTGGCTGCTATCTCCATCTGCAGTGATCATGGAGCCCAAGAAAGTAAAATCTGTCACTACCTCCATATCCTCCCTTTCTCTTTCCAGGTGATGGGACCAGTGACCATGATCTTACTTTTTTTGATGTTGAGCTTCAGACCGTTTTTGCACTCTCCTCTTTCACCCTCATTACAAGGTTCCTTAATTCCTCCTCACTTTCTGCCATCAGAGTGGTATTATCTGCATATCGGAGGTTGTTGATGTTTCTTCCAGCAATCTTAATTCTGGCTTGGGATTCCTCCAGTCCAGCCTTTCGCATGATGCATTCTGCATATAAGTTAAATAAGCAGGGGGACAATATACAGCCTTGTCGTACTCCTTTCCCAATTTTGAACCAATCAGTTGTTCCATATCCA